TCGTCCCGATACTCCCAGCAGGGACAGCCATTTCTCTTTCCAAGCCGGAACGCAGCCAGAAAGAAAGAAGACGACCTTGAGTGTTGCGCGGCGTGGCGTGGTGCGGCCGGGTATTAGTACATACTTTTCTCCTCCGATCAAGGGCGATAACGCCAGCCGGGCACTTGTTCAGCGCTCCGCCTCCTCGTAATGTTATTACGGCCCCAAAAGGACGACCTGGCCAGTGAAAGGGAACATGGCCCCCTGTGGGCTGGGCCCTCTGGCGGGCCCTTGCCGGACCCTCTGCTGGCCCACAGGTGCGGCCCGGGATGCTACAGGTTTATCGCGAAACTGTTCCTGCGTGGCTTACGGCACCGGGCCCGGGAATGAGAAAGGGATTGACAACGTGCTATAACAGTTGACCGGCCGAGGAGCATCCGGTTGCGGCGCGATCCGACGATCCGGTCCACACTGTTAAAACCTTACGAAGCAAAATTCATAGGTAGCAAATCCTTCGTAGGCACGAAGGATTTGGCATTTTGCGTCGTAGAGCTTTTACTGTGCAACCCCGGCCGCTTGCCGAGGACGCGGTCATGGAGGGGTCCGCACGGGACCGGGCGAGCCGGGGCAGACGGGACTATGGTCCCTTGACTTGAGGATCAGATCGTCCAGTTTGTACAGTACGTCCATAATTTCTCAGAGGTATTTGGAGAATCACGGGGGCTCAGCGCCTGTGGGACTCAGGGTAGGCAACCTCACATTGCACGCATGCAGTGCAGGCAAGATGTTGCCTACCTGTCAGGCGCTATGCTGTGAAAGCTTCGCATTATTCCAAGAACTTGGCTGTTTCGTAACGGAAAACGGCGGCCGTATACTTCGTTTCTATGACTCCCTGACCCCCTGACCATCCCCTGCCGTTACTGATCGGTGTACTCTTCTGTCCCTGAAGGTCCTGGTGGCAGTGCTGCTGGCCGCGGCGCGCGCAGAGCCACCCTCGCCCTCCGGGTACTCCTACTCAACGCCGACCGGTTACAGGTAAGTGCCCCCCCCCCCCTGGATCCTGCTGACGTAGACTTCAGGTCCAATAGTCCACAGGATTACGACCCTAGTAACACAAAGCTGTCGCACATAGTGTAATTTTTTTTCAATAGACAAATCTATGTTACGATACCGAAAATCCAATAATGGTAATGGCTTTTCCACGGTCAGACGATTGTCGCTGGTCTAACAAATTTTAACTACACTGTAATTTCAAAGGCGTACCGGGAGAGTGCGAGAAAGGTGTAGGCTACAGAAACCAGTGCGAATTAAGTCGCAGTCTAGGCATACACCTTTGTCGCACTGCCACCATACACCTTTGTATGCAGAATATGCCGGACAGCCCCTAAGCCCCTGCCAAGCCCCCTGCGGCAGGTGTTTGGCCTCCATACACCTTGTGCTGGGTAAAATAGTACACGGTTTGAGGGAGCTGTGAGCCGTGGGCTGCAGGCGCAGGCCCATGAAGTGCGCTCCCAAGGTGTATGCAGGCCAACCACCCGCTCAGGGGGCTTTGGGGCTGTCCGGCATATTATGCATACAAAGGGTGTACGGTGGCAGTGCGACAAAGGGGATATATATGCCCAGACTGCGACTTAAGTCGCACTGGTTACTGTGGCCTACACCTTTGTCGCACTCTCCCGGTACGCCTTTGAAAGTACAGTGTATCTACCATCCTGTTGTATTTTTATCCATTCCTATTCGAATCCACAACCGCGGTTTTTCGCTTCCATTACGATAGCTGGCCGATAAAGATTTTCGTCCCGAGGAAAAAAGATAGTATAGCGATAGAATCATCTTTCTCATTTCGTACATCGCACCGATAGTCCGTATCTTTTTTCAACAGTTGTACGACAGTCATGTGCTACTTAGGGATGTAAGGACTCTTGACGCAAACTCTTAAGCAAAGAGC